GGTGAGTGGACTTCAACTCCCCTGCTGGCTGGGGAATTCTGGGAGTTGGAGTCCACTCATCTTAAAGTGGCCAAGTTTGGACAGCACTGGTTTAGGCACTTATGCAATTACCTGCTTCACTATTAGGCTTTCAAAAACGCTATGACCCCTTCCCTTTGCGAACAGCCACATGAATGGCTGGGGTCAAACTGACCCCCCCCCAAATACAGGGGCAATGAGTTCCGCAAGTTAACAGTGGCCATATGCAGATGAAACTGACTTATTTTAAACCTCCTGCCCCTTCCTCCTCCTCCCCTATTTGCATGCAGCCTTTCTTCCAAGAAGTTTTTGGAAAGGATACAAGGCTGGCAGGTCCAGATTCCTGGCTAACCCGCAGTTTTAATTCAGCCCACATTTAATTATTTATGCCAGAGGCGCATAACCAGAGGCGCAAAGCCACAAGTGGCTCTCAGAAAACTCTGCAGAGCCCCTTCAGAGTCCCAGCAAATTCAAATGCTTCAAAACAAGAGGCCGAAACACCATCCCGTCAACTATTTCAGTAATTCCATCGACTTTTCTTTCAAGTTCAACGAAAGCTCCGTTAACTTTCGGTTCGTTTCGATCCTGGCCCTGCTTGCTTTTCTTAAGAGGTGCTCACCAGCAGGCCATCCCATCGGGGGTGTCCCAAGGAGGTCAAAAAAGTCAAGATGGTGGCCACAGCCACCTGTAACCCCCCTCCTTTTTTAAACGTGCAATGCACAGACCTTCCTTCCTCCATCAGCATCACGGTGGCGCTACTGAGTTTAATGAAAGCCCATTTCTAGCAGCGTTAAACAGCCCTGCCCCGGGACTCGTTTGCCATTCAAACTGGAAACCCTTCAGCTGTGTTCACTCAACCACGGCTTGCTCAAAAGCAGCAGACCCTGAAGGAGGAGGAGGAGGAATTTGGACCCGTCCCAAGATGTCTCTGCAAACTCCCAAGCGGAGTGTCCACTTAAAAACGGAAAAAATCCTTGTGTTCACTTGGCCGGGTGCTGGAGTTGCATCAGCTCTTTTGGCCTGGAAAGAGCAAGTGGGTTCGTCCTCGCATTACAGCTGACCGCTGTGGCTCGGAGCTCCGGGAAGTCAGAGGACAACTTTGCTAGAACAGGCAGGCAAGCGAGCCGAGCGAGCGAGACGTTGAGTCAGGAAAACGAGGATGATTTTTTAAAAAAGGTTCCAGGGCCGTAAAGGATCAGTTCCCGTCGAGCCAAGCACTTTTTCTTTTGAGGTTCGCAAAGTTTCAACAGCTGCATTATGTTCCACAGGGTGTTGTGCCGCAGAACGACACATTGCTCAGTCCTTTGGGGAAAATCAGGATTGGTCACGGAATAAATCATCGGAGAAAGAATTCCACCGCTTTCTAGTCCTTATGAAGGCAGGGAAGGTCGCCTGAAGCGTATTGGGGAAAGGGGGCTCTCCGGCAGTTTTTATGACAGCCCCGGGAGGGTTAAAATCGTCACCTGGCCATGGTTATCCTTCACTGGGGTTAATCTCTCAGTGGACTTGGCTGCATTGGGTTGGGAGCGGCCCTTGAAGACTGTTCAAAAACTGCAATCAGTTTAAAACAGGGCTGCTAGGGAGTGTCTCAGTTCAAAGTGCTGCTCTTTTGTGTAGATTTCATTTCTTTCTTTATTTTTACCAGCTTAGAAGGGTGGGTGATTCTTTCGAGAGGCTGGGCAGAGAGATTTTACAGAAGAACAGATGACGTGGGATCCTTGAGTTTTGCTACTTGGTCTTGATGAGATGATCTAAGGCAGAGTTGTCCAAACCCAGACCATCCCTCTATAGAAGTGAAGATCATTTCCCCACAATATATCAACCAGCCAC